GTACTGTTTCTTTTCTCCAAGAGATATGTCAATGTATTCTTTTAGCTCTGGGTTATAACCCACCGTTTCCGTTTAACCTCAGGTATAAATAGCTCGTAATTTCATGTAAAGATCATCTTGTTCAGTAATAAATTACTTATACACAACAACCTATACCGGGCTTAACAGGAGAGCACTCGAAAGCACTTGAATACTATGAAAAATCACACAAAATTACAGAAAGCGTTCTCCATCCAAACCCTCCCGATCTGGCTGCTAGTAACAATCACATCGGCATGGTGTATCACAACATGGGAGAGTACTCGAAAGCGCTTGAATACTATGAAAAATCACACAAAACTAGCCAAAGCGCTCCCGCTCTAAATCAGCCCGATTTGGCTAGTAGTAACAATAACATCGGCTCGGTGTATCACAACATGGGAGAGTACGCGAAAGCGCTTGAATACTATGAAAAATCACACAAAATTAGAGAAAGCGCTCTCCCTCCAAATCATCCCGATTTGGCTCACAGTTACAATAACATCGGCTCGGTGTATCACAACATGGGAGAGTACTCGAAAGCACTTGAATACTATGAAATATCACACAAAATTAGAGAAAGCGTTCTCCCTCCAAACCATCCCGATTTGGCTCACAGTTACAATAACATCGGCTCGGTGTATCACAACATGGGAGACTACTCGGAAGCACTTGAATACTATGAAAAATCACACAAGATTAGAGAAAGCGCTCTCCCTCCAAATCATCCCGATTTGGCTGGTAGTAACAATAACATCGGCTCGGTGTATCACAACATGGGAGAGTACCCGAAAGCGCTTGAATACTACGAAAAATCACACAAGATTAGAGAAAGCGCTCTCCCTCCAAATCATCCCGATTTGGCTAGTAGTAACAATAACATCGGCTCGGTGTATCACAACATGGGAGAGTACCCGAAAGCGCTTGAATACTACGTAAAATCACACAAAATTAGAGAAAGTGCTCTCCCTCCAACTCATCCCGCTTTTGCTGCTAGTAACAATAACATCGGCATGGTGTATCACAACATGGGAGAGCACTCGAAAGCACTTGAATACTATGAAAAATCACACAAAATTAGAGAAAGTGCTCTCCCTCCAAACTCTCCCGATTTGGCTACCAGTTACGGCTCTATCGGCTTGGTATATCACAACATGGGAGAGTACTCGAAAGCACTTGAGTACTATGAAAAATCACACAAAATTAGAGAAAAATCTCTCCCTCCCAATCATCCCCACTTGGCTCACAGTTACAATAACATCGGCGGGGTGTATCACGACATGGGAGAGTACTCGAAAGCGCTTGAATACTATGAAAAATCACACAAAATTAGAGAAAGCGCTCTCGCTCCAAATCATCCCGATTTGGCTCACAGTTACAATAACATCGGCATGGTGTATCACAACATGGGAGAGTACTCGAAAGCGCTTGAGTACTACGAAAAATCACACAAGATTAGAGAAAGCGCTCTCCCTTCAAATCATCCCGATTTGGCTAGTAGTAACAATAACATCGGCTCGGTGTATCACGACAAGGGAGAATACTCGAAAGCACTTGAATACTATGAAATATCACACAAAATTAGAGAAAGCGTTCTCGCTCCAAATCATCCCGCTTTTGCTCACAGTTACAATAACATCGGCTCGGTGTATCACAACTTGGGAGAGTACTCGAAAGCACTTGAATACTATGAAAAATCACACGAAATTAGAGAAAGTGCTCTCCCTCCCGATCATCCCGATTTGGCTCACAGTTACAATAACATCGGCTTGGTGTATGACAACATGGGAGAGTACTCGAGAGCACTTGAGTACTCTGAAAAATCACACAGAATTAGAGAAAAATCTCTCCTTCCAAATCATCCCGATTTGGCTCAGAGTTACAATAACATTGGTTGGATGTTTAAAAACGTGGGAGAGTACTCGAAAGCGCTTGCATTTTGCGATAAAGCGCTTGAAATGTACGAAAAAGCTCTCCCCCCGATTCACGCTCATTTGGCTGACTGCTTCAACAACATCGGTGAAATATATTGTAAGATGGGCGCGTACTCGACAGCACTTGAGTACCACGAGAAATCACAAAAAATCAGGGAAGAGTCGCTCCCTCCGAATCATCTCGATTTGATTAAGTAGAAGTAACAACAACATTGGTTTGGTCTATTTCAACATTGGAGAGTACTCGAAAGCATTTTCAGTGCTTAGAGGATCTCTGAATATTCATGAAATGTCACAGGATAATAATAATTCGAAATTTGCTGCAACAACATACTATTGGTTAGGACGGATAGAGTGTTTTATGAAGGATTATTTGAAAGCACTTGAATACTATGGAAAAACGTTGGAGATATACAGAAAAAGAGCCTTGCCGGAAAAACATCAGACTTCGGTATAACATACAGTAACATTGGAGATGTGAAAAGATTAACTGGAGATTATACAACTGCACGTTTATTTCTGGAGAAAGCACTTGAAATACAAGAAAATGTTACTTGTGATCGTTGTGATTTGGCTTGGACATACACTTATATGGGTGAAACGTATCGTGAGATGAAAGATTACTCAACAGCACTAGAATTTCATGAAAAAGCACTGAAAATTCGTGAGAAATTGCTCACTTCGAGTCATCCCGATTTGGCTGTAACATGTCACAATTTAGCGAAGGTTTACAACGGACGAAGACAATTTAAAGTGGCTTCTGGGCTTGCTCAGCTCGCTGTTGAAATGGCTGAACAAAAGTTGTCTGGCAAACATCCAGATATTTTGGAATATAAGGAAACAGTATTAGAAATACGTAAAAGCTTGTAAGTTAGTCGCTTCCCCAGTCAAAAAATATAGCAAGAGGAGGAGTGTCATCGAGCACTCTTTTTAGAAAGAAAAGAATTTCTCAAAAGGAGTACTCCAAACCTACAACGGAGTACCGACAAAAAATGAGTACTCCTAAGTGTTGCTTCTTCTGAAGTGCTCCGCAGTACCTCAGCTGCACTGTATAAAAAGCATTGCTCCGAAGCACTCCAAAAAAGAAGTACTCATGAGTACGCCTAATAAGTGATAATTCTATAAGTCTTATTCGAAGTACCCATGAGTACTTCTTTTTTGGAGTGCTTCAGAGCACTGCTTTTTATAAAGTGCAGCTGAGGTACTGCGGAGCACTTCAAAAACAGCAGCACTCAGGAGTACTTAATTTTTTGTGGGTACTCCGTTGTAGCTTTTGGAGTAGTCCTTTTAAGTTGACCACCATATGCTGAAATTTTTAATCATTTCTGAGCATCAGTCCAAAAAGCCTGTTCTTTCGTATTTATTCATTTTTCTCTGCAAACTGGACGTTCTTAATACTATCTTATACAGGAAAACATGCATAATTAACCGGCTGTAAAATGTTATATAGCACATCTTTTCACACTAATTTCTTTATAGCGTTACTCGTCAAACATTGTCTACGGCTATTTGCTTCACATACATGTAACCCTCATTGAATATAATAAAATGGATATAGTTTAGTCAGCGCACTCAGTTTATACATAGAAAATGCAGAATTGAAAGGGCTATAATGAGCTATAGCACATTGTTTTAAAAGTTTGCCTTCATAGATCTATTGGACAAATACTTGACGGGTATCTCGTTTTTACCCGTAATGATAGACAAAACTGATTCTAGTTTCTTCCACAAATGGAGATCTCTAATTATTCACACATTATTCGATGCACCTTGGAAGAATCTACAATATTTTGTGCTAATAGGAAACTTCACGAAGCTTTGTAGCGGTTGTAGTGTATTAAATACTTCGTCGTTTAAACCTACAGTGGGTCCATAACTTACTCGCCACCTTTATTTTTCATTTTTCTTGGCGACCATAATAACTAGAACAAATTTGAAGAAAAATTTAACCGGATAGAAGAGTTTCCGATCTGATGTGCTGTATACGAAGGTTCTATCAAACGCCTGAAACCAGGATCTCTGGCAATCGAAGATCACAGAAAACGAAATCCTCGAGTTCAATCTAGAAATTATTTGCAAATAACTCCATCACGTAGGGCAAAGATTTCTGAGGAAAATGAGATGTTAATCAAGCGATCGGATGCCGATATTGACTGATGATGTGCTGTCGTCGCGTGTGTGTTTGTTGATGTATACTCCAGTTGATTTTTGAAATTTTTATTAACAAAAAACAGAGAAGAGAGGACCAGTATTAGAATGATAAAGTCTGCGATGATCTTCACTTAAGCGATGGATAAGGGATAGGTAAACTCCTTGCTACTGTAAGGAGAGTATTTTTCTTGAATGATAATTACATTAACAACATCAGTGTTGCACCTGAACCTCCACCACGGGATTCGGTCCTATGATCCTATGCGATGCGGTTATTTATCTAACGCGGGTATCCTTCTAGATGTCCCTTTCCGATTCCAATAATTTGTGCATGGATCCACAGAGCTCAGTGAGGTTGTAAATATCCTAAAAGGATTCTTGCTCATGACTCTCGAAGTCCCGAAGTTTACCCGATGAAAGCCAGAGAGATGAGACATGTAGTGAGCTCTCCCGTCCGATTAAGTGTAACGAATAATGGTGGAAGATTTGACGCAACAAACGATGCTTTCGCATACTCAAAACCAAGGACACCATCGGCTGAATCCGAACTGAAGACGAAGGCGGGGCCTGTAGCTGACGTCACTAATCCGAAAGACTGATTCTTTGCAGTAACACCGCCGCGTACAAAAGACCCTCCAAACTAATATGATCAGGAAGGTTTATTTTAATGCATGTATCGGTCGAGTTTCACTTGCTCAACTCACATTCATCGGTTCAGTTGCGACCACTTCTCGCACCTCGCTAGCCGATCCATACGATGTCCGATACTATTGTACGCTTACATGAAAAAGATTGGACTTGTATGCTGCCTTAGCTATTATAGAAATAAATTGAACTACTAGTAGTGTGATCGAGGATGTTATTCACGTACGACAAAAGGTGCCCGAACAATTATCCCTACTTGTCAGCCAGAAGTCCCTTGACCAACTGAGTAAAAACACGCGCGCTTTCTGGCCGACGACAGTGATCGGAACAGCACACGTTGTCTGTTATAGAAGAAGTCAAACATGGAAATAATCTGAAGTGTATGGTGGAGAGAAAGAGCCAACCACAATGTTTCTGTGTGCTACAGTCGACGCATCAGCCGGGCAATTGTTCGACGTACTGGTAGATGCTGAGAGGTTGACAAGAAACTTTGTCATCGGAGGTTGATCGTACGGGAAGATAACGCTAAACGGAGAAAGAACTGTTGGAACATCATAGTAAATGAACTTAGTTAGGCTCACACAAAGGATTGATGAGAGGATTGTGTACACGGCTGACGTTGCCGACAATCAGTATCCCTCTTGTTGTCAACTACGCAGATGCTCGTCAGTCATGCATGGCGAATATTTTCTGCACCGACTGACCTATATGACACGTTTTTTATCTATTGCGGTGCAATTGCGGTAAAATGCGCTCGTTTTAGCGCAATTGTGTAATTCGCCATCGACACAGGCCGAAACATCGTCGCCACGATTGCCAGCTACAACAATTACTAGTCAAAAACGAAATCGTTCGAGTTCACAAGCACCATGCTCATGAACCAAAAAAAGTAGATTGTAAACGTGTTCATTTGTTTTACCTATTGTACAGTATAGATTTTGATCTTATGAACCCTTGAAGCAGCTTTTATACTATTGTGATTGTTAGTTTTTGTTTAGTCAAAATTGTTCTTTTCCTATTGTCGAGTTTGATAACCATGGTAGAAATACACATAACGGTCATTGAGTGCAGTGTAATGCAGTGAACTCAGTAAAATTGTCTGTATGACCCTACGGCTACAGGAGTACCTAGGAGTATGGTTTTACCCCCTTGGGAAAATTACTTGGGACCTTTTTTGTCGGAAAAACGATAGTTTTGGGAGGATATCGACTATGTTTAGTATTTTGCACGCAGTTGCAACATTTTTTTGTGTGCATACGCTCCATATAGACTGAAGAATAGGCACATGTCGCCTGTCATCAAGGTAAGATCAATGATTTGATATTATGCTCTCTTGTCGTCATGCGAAGTATATCCTCTATACAGCCTTTTGAGCGACTGTAACTCAAGTGGATGATAGAACATTGAAAAGAGCGGAAGTGCCGATTCATACTTAACTGGGCAAACAAACTGGGACGATCGATTCCTAACTGAAAGAAACACATTAGTCTGTTTTACTTGACATTGCTTTTAAAAGTTCAGTCAACTTTCTAACGAAGATGTAATCAGGTACTTATGTTTCTGTAGCTAGTGAAGCACAATTGTTTTAAATAAACTTTTCAAGATGCACAAGTGGGCGAATTTGGAGAGTTTTGTAAAAATTAGCGATTCTTTATAAGTGACGAAAAAAATCAACATGCGTATAGAGAAAAAGAATAGTCTATCGATAAACGAACGAACGTCACATGTTCAAGTCACGTTGCAAGGTTGATCTAGAGTGCATTTTTTTCAAGGCAGAAATAAACCAAGATGGCGATTTGATCGATATCATTCATAAGTGACTCGAACTTTATTTTACGATTTGTCTGTTTTACTTACCCTCCCAAGCAAAAACGACCCAAAAAATTGAGTCGTTTTTGCTTGGGCTGGCTCACTGTCTTATGCTATTTTATTGTCAAGACAGAATCATCGCTCTTGGAAAGGAAAACGAATTTAAACGTTGTCGATTGTTAAAAAAGCCCCGTTCACGTTGATTCTATTTGATATTTTCGAGAGCCGAATATGATATAAATAAATCAGATTTTTTTCTGATACCCAAACCGAATTCGAATTTATAGACAGATGAAATTAGGCTAGTAAGCTCATTGTATTCTTCAGGTGTCTTTTGCAGCAGCCCGAAAAACATTGTGAGAAATCTAATCAAATTTGATTTCGACAAACTCTGTTGACCTTATAGATGAAATATTTAATAAACCAATTGTGAAAGGTAATTTGGTGAAACTAGCATCATCCAAAAGAGAATTAAACTTATATTTATCTGATGAAACAAATATTTTAAATTATTAGAAATTAAATGAAACTCAATATCCTATATTAGCTCAATTATCTCAGTTAGCTAAACAATGCATTCCTGCTACAAATAAAATATAATTTTTCCTTTATGAACCACGATGGTTTCATAAGTCAAATGATGATATAGGCAGCCCTCTTTCCAACCATATGTCAAACTAAAAGATCGATTGTAACAATACTGAGAAATTTTCAAAATACTATACTCCATGAACGGACGTAGAAAACGTAGCTGTAATTGAACACCCGAAAAGTTTTTGTGGGCCAGTTCTGTTTCAGACGACTTTCGAAAAGAAAGAAACATGTAGTCTTATTCAGTATGAAGAGCTCTTTCGAACGGCATATGTTTCAATCAAATCGGTGATTCAGCAGATGCCAACCTTATATGACATTTCCTGCGGCGACACTAACGTTAGTAATAACTGTGTACTAAAAGCAAACCGACAAAAGAAACCAAAATACTAAAAACCCCAAACAAAAAAACATAAAAAGAATTAAACAAGTACAATAACCACAAAAGCCAAAAATTAACAACTTTTTGAAAAATTAAAACATAAAATTCATAAAAAAAGTCATTTTAATTTTAACCCAGTTTAACTATTATAAGAATAAAAGAAAAGGAAAAATAACTTCAATAAACAGTTAAAAAAAGAATAAAAGAAAACACCGCTTGAATAAAAAAATACATAATTAAACTATAATATTTACTATCATTCAAAACCAAAAACAACAATATTAAAAATAAT